GGACAAGTGGGAACGTCTTACAGTAGCTGATGCATTGGAACCAGTGCAGTTTGAAGATGGGCAGAAGATTGTGGTGCAGGGAGAACCGGGGGATGAATTCTTCATTATTTTGGAGGTAAAGAACTCGGAATTTGATACTTTAAAAAGTTGTACACTCTAAGAGGGAAAGAATGGGCTAATTCTGAATTACAGCTTTAGTTTTTAAGAGTACGTGACAATTTTATTTTTAAATTATCTTTTACTTTGAAATGCTGTTGTTTGGTTTTCTGCTAGGTCACTACATTTTTAAATGAGTTTGAGTCAGAATTCTTGAAGGGCCCTAGACATGAATAGCCAAATTCTGAAAACCATTTAACATACTGTGTTGATTCTGTACTATCCTTGTTAAAATGCAAGTATTTGGGCTATTTGGCAAATAAGGATTAAAGGTAATTATTTAAATTTGAAAAATTCCTGTATTTTTTTATCTCCACATTCCATGAAAGTGTATAGCAGATACTCTTGCTTGCCAAGCAGATCCACGTGACAGATTTCTATGAATGTGGCTCCATAGTTGCTAATTGATTTTATTTAAACCAGGGGTCAGGAAACTGTAAAGGACCAGGTGGTAAGTTAAGCTTTGTGGACCCATTGCCATAGTGCAAAAGCAGCCACAAATAATATGTAAATGAATGGATGTGGTATTCCAATAAAGTTTTATTTGCAAAAGAGACAGCGAGCTTGGATTTAGCCCTTCCTCTACAGTTTGCTAACCCAAGTCTGCAACCTTTAAGCACCTTAATAAGAAGAACCTTGCTAGCAGGAGATGCTGGTAAAATAGAAATTGAAGCTTATGTGGTGACTAACTTTAAAGTTATTTTTTTATCTCATGTGCACATAAGTTGAAAGGACCACTGAATTGCTCCCCCCCTCCCCATTTTTGCAAGGTAGCTAAAATTGCATAAGATGTTTAAGATGCCACCTTGGGTTTGAGAGTGTTTGTTTAGCTTTTTGGTGGTTTTATCGTAGGGGTCAGCTGCTGTGCTACAACGTCGGTCAGAAAATGAAGAGTTTGTTGAAGTGGGAAGATTGGGGCCTTCTGATTATTTTGGTATGTATGAATTCCCTCACAATAAATACATGGTTTCTTTAAATCACCTCTTAGTGAGATATTGTAGTCTTCCATAATCTTGTCTTCTCCTCAATTTTATTTTTTAATTGCAGTGTCTTTTGGCTCTGAGAGATACAGTGTGAGATTTTTGATCTTTACTCAGTTAATGAAATTATTGATTGTCTCATATCTACTAGTTTGTTTTTTAAGTGTAGATGTAGTGTGCCCTGTACTAAGTTATTAGAGAAATAAATAATTGTTCTTAGAAGTGCACTGCTTTAAGGAAATGTTTTTCATAGCAGTTAGCCTGTCCTTACCCTTCCTCGTTTCCTTTCTCCAGGTGAAATCGCACTACTGATGAATCGTCCTCGTGCTGCCACAGTCGTTGCTCGTGGCCCCTTGAAGTGCGTTAAGCTGGACCGACCTAGATTTGAACGTGTTCTTGGCCCATGCTCAGACATCCTCAAACGAAACATCCAGCAGTATAACAGTTTTGTGTCACTGTCTGTCTGAAATCTGCCTCCTGTGCCTCCCTTTTCTCCTCTCCCCAATCCATGCTTCACTCATGCAGACTGCTTTATTTTCCCTACTTGCAGCGCCAAGTGGCCACTGGCATCGCAGCTTCCTGTCTGTTTATATATTGAAAGTTGCTTTTATTGCACCATTTTCAATTTGGAGCATTAACTAAATGCTCATACACAGTTAAATAAATAGAAAGAGTACTATGGAGACTTTGCTGTTACTGCTTCTCTTTGTGCAGTGTTAGTATTCAACCTGGGCAGTGAGTGCCATGCTTTTTGGTGAGGGCAGATCCCAGCACCTATTGAATTACCATAGAGTAATGATGTAACAGTGCAAGATTTTTTTTTTTAAGTGACGTAATTTTCCACTTATAAGCATAGACTGTGGCCATATATGCTGTATTTCTTTGTAGAATAAATGGTTTCTCATTAAGCTCTAAAGATTAGGGAAAATGGATATAGAAAATCTTAGTATAGTAGAAAGACATCTGCCTGTAATTAAACTAATTTAAGGGTGCAAAAATGCCCATTTTTGCTGATCAGTGGGTTATGATTGGTTCAATTTTTTTTTTTTTCATTTTTAACCAGAATTTTTGTTTGCCAAGCTAATCTGCCTGGTTTTATTTATATCTTGTTATTAATGTTTCTTCTCCAATTCTGAAATACTTTTAGGTGTGGCTATCTATACCTGCCTTTTAAGTTTGAAACTAAATCACAGACTATAAATACTGGGTTAGTGTTCGGCTACATCTGCCTCGGCTTACAAGTTTGGATTAGACCTTTATCCAGCTAGTGCCAAATATTGATCAGATGCTGAATTGAGAATAAGAATTTGAGGTCTACAACCTTGGTTATTAATTTAGAGCTTTGGTTAAAGTATGTCCTTCACTTGACTTCAGTGTAATCTCCTATGCTCATTAAACTGATTCCTGGAGATTGGATTTGCTGTGACTAGATACAGATGGAGCAAATGTCCTAACAGAGAAACAGGTGATGCTGCTACAGGGAGAAATGCCAGGAGGACAAAATTCAGTGTCGGGAATTTTCCCAGTGAAACTCACTGGGGCATGAGATTTTGGAAGAAGTTTTTTTACTTTGGTTTAGTCTTTTTTTCCTTCCTTTTTATTTCAGCTACAATTTCTGGTGGGTTGATGGTAGGGTATAATGTGTCTGTGTTATTTCACATTGGCCTAAAAGGCTATCCTGCTGAAAGTCCTGCTTTCCTATCTAGCATTTATTTCTCTGGCAAACTTTTCTTTCTTTTTTTTTTTTTTAATTAAACTTGTGTATTGAGTCTTAACTGTATTTTTCAGCATTTTCCAGCCTTATGTGTTACATTATTCCAATGATACCCAACAGTTTATTTTTACTATTTTTTTAAACAAAATTTCACAGTTCTGTAATGTAGGCACTTTTATTTTCATTGTGATTTATATATAAGGTAATGTAGGGTTATGTTTGGGAGTGACTGCAAGCATTTTTCCATCTGTGTGCAACTGACTCTGATTATTGATCTCTTCTCCTGCCCTTTCCCAGGTAATTTAAATTGGTTGGGTAGATTTTTTTTCATAGATTTGAAAAACTTTTAGGTTGTTACCAAGTGTGAAGTACAAATCTGGGGAAGAGGTTTTATTTACATTTTAGGGTGGGTAAGAAAGCCACCGTGTTACAAATTTTTTAATTTCCAAAATCTATATTAAATGAGGGTTTTCTGATCTGTACTTTGTGTTTAGCTACCTTTTTACATTTAAAAAATTAAAAATTATGTTCTTATAAGCGTAAAGCTTGATTTGATCTTTGTTTAAATGCCAAAATGTACTTAAGTGAATTATTTAGAATGCCATAAAATTGCAGTTTCATGTGTGTATATAATCATGCTCATGTATATTTAGATACATATAATGCTTTCTAAATGAGTTTTACTCTTTAATCATTTGGCTTGCCGTAGTTTTTAATTATAAAAGTTAAAGATAAGTCTACATTAAACAATGATCACATCTAAAGCTTTATCTTTGTGTAATCTAAATATATGTGAGAAATCACAATTGGCATAGTTTGTCTTAGTTATTCAGAGCTTTAAAAGTCATTATTTCTGGGCTTGGTAAGTGAATTTATGAGATTTACTGCTCTAGAAAGTATAGATGGCCAAAGGACCGTTTTGTATTGTTTCCTGATTACCAGTCTGATTATACCATGTGTGCTAATATACTCTTTTTGTTTTAGATTGTCTTAATGGTAGGTCAAGTAATAAAAAGAGATGAAATAATTTAAATTCTTAACTGAATCAGTTTTTCTTCCCTTTCTCCTTTCCGTCTTTCCTCTCTCTGTCCTTCCCCACAAGTCTACTCCGGTGGGCAAAAATAAAAAGGGAAGGTGAATTATGGGATCAGTGTTTTGAAAGAGTTATGTTTATTTTCAGTGCTTTTCAGTTTGTCGAAGAGGGGATCTCAAAATCTTGCTTAAAGGGTAATTGAGATGTAGCAGATTTATTTACTGAATCATGGAAGGAAAAAAAATTCAGTCAAAAGCTAAAGATTTCCTTTTTATTGAAGACAGATTGGTTCTGTGGTCTTGGAATTTTCCCAGACTTAATGGAGAAACATCATTTCTGTATTAGCATACTCTTTGGCTTAAATTTAATATATACATTTAATGCTACTTAAGGATACTTTTCCATTTTTCGTATATAAAGCCTTAATTTCTGATGCTTTTTCCTTAGGTTTCTGAGGAGTGAGATGATTAAGTTGTATTCATTAGTATATTGGTATTTCTTCACATTCAGTGAAGTTGGAGATATGTTGTATGTTAGAAGAGCATTCTTTAATTTGTGCTGCTTTGAACATGTGTACCTTTTCTAGATTGAGTAATGCCTTCCCCTAATCTGGATTTTAAAACCTTTAGAGTCACAATAGAATATAACTAAAGAAAATTGTTCTGGATTGATAGTCCTGGTTGTAGTTGAATTCTCTCTCTAAACAGTGGCCTATATAGTCTCTTTTTTTTGTTTTTTTTTTTTAATGATTAAATACATTTAAAAGTTGAAGTAGCATGTCAGTTTTTTAAATACTACTTTATCCGCAACCACAAGTAATAGCTGACTGTTTTTACTTATGTTAGGCCCTGGCAGTGGATATTTAGTTGGGCTAAGACAACATCAAGGAGCGATGGCTAGGTAACCATTTAATTTGTTCCCAAAGGTACTTTTTAATTAATTTTTGGAGACAGTCTCACTCTGTCTCCCAGGCTGGAGTGAAGTGTCATGATCTCAGCTCACGGTGGCCTCTGCGCCTCCCAGGTTCAAGTGATTCTTGTCCCCCAGCCTCTGGAATAGCTGGGACTGCAGATGTGTAGCATCACGCGCAACTAATTTTTTGTATTTTTAGTAGAGGTGCGGTTTTTGCCTTGTTGCCCAGGCTGGTCTTGAACTCCTAAGCTCAGTCTGCCCACCTGGGCCTCCCAAAGTGCTAGGATTACAGGCGTGAGCCACCGTGCCCGCCCCTAAAGGTATTTATTATAATAGCCATCAGTAAAGGCTGTACCTGTGAGAATTTCTTAAATCTCTTCCTTCTTATGCTTTGGGACTTTTACATAGAAAGAAAGCAGTGTTGTTATATACATGTACCGCTAAAATTTGTTTCTTGACATAAGTTCAGAGCTGTGACTTCATCCTGACTGTACCTAAAACCAAAACCACTGAGGAAGATTTTTTTTTTTTTTATTTTGTGAAAGTTCTGCCAATTTTGCTTAAATAGCTGTGTGATTTTAAAGGTTGCCACTAGATGGAGAGCTTTTTTTTTTTCATCCTTGTTAATCTCAAATGAGTTAACTGTTGATCCTCATCATTCGTGGGTTCTGTATTTGTAATTTGCCTGCTTGCTAAACTTTATTTGTAACCCCCAAAATCAGTAGTCACAGGGCTTTTGCAGACATGAGCAGAGCAGTGAAAAGTTTGAGCTTCCTAACACGCATGTTCCCCACTGAGGTGGAACTAAGGGATGCTCAGCCTTGTTTCATCTCTCATACTGTGAATAAGTATCCTTCTCTTGGTCTTTTTAGTGCCTTTTTTTTTTCATTATCGTTATTTGTTTTTTTTGTTGGCAATTTTGCTATTTAGAATGCCCCCAAGTGTAGTGATGAAGTGCTGACTAGTGTTCCTAAGTGCAAGAAGGCTGCGATGTACTGTATGTAGTAGAAAATATGTATATTTGATGTTTCTTTTAGGTGTGGGTTACAGTGCTGTTAGCCATGAGTACATGTTAATGAATCAGTATATATTAAATTGTCTTTAACATGCCTTAACGTAAAGCGCACACACAACAAGATTATGTATTGATTGGTTGATGAAAATGTAACCAGACACTCCCAGCAACCTAGTCCTGTATTTCCCCTAGGAGCATTGTTCAATATTTGCCAGTGCAGTGTTTGTGGTGACTTTATAGAACATAAACTAACTTGTAAGGTAATTGACTATTTTTTTTTGTAATTTTCAAACTAAGATTGTCTTCCTGACTTGTGAGAAGGCTAAAATGAATTCCTCCAAATGCCTCTTTCCGTCAATTTATATACTATACAGTTCCCTTTCATTTTTTAGTTTGCTGTCAGTAGTAACTTGAAAAGTTCTCACATAGTCTAGAGAATTTTTATTTCATGGGATGTTAACAGTTCAAAATGAACACATTGGAACAACGTGATTAAGAATGAAATGGTTGGTTTTCTGGTATTTTTGAGAAATGAGCGAGTGTTAATTTTGTTAGTCAAAAAGCAACATAAGGTGAAAGTTAAGTGAATAATAAGGTAGGTGTACAGGCATACCACATATCATGGTGAAGATAAGTGAATAATAAGGTGGGCGTACAGGTATACCACATATCATGGTGAAGATAAGTGAATAATAAGGTGGGCGTACAGGTATACCACATTTCATGGTGAAGATAAGTGAGTAATAAGGTAGGCGTACAGGTATACCACATATCATGGTGAAGATAAGTGAATAATAAGGTGGGCGTACAGGTATACCACATATGGTGAAGATAAGTGAGTAATAAGGTAGGCGTACAGGTATACCACATATCATGGTGAAGATAAGTGAATAATAAGGTAGGCGTACAGGTATACCACATATCATGGTGAAGATAAGTGAATAATAAGGTGGGCGTACAGGTATACCACATATCATGGTGAAGATAAGTGAGTAATAAGGTAGGCGTACAGGTATACCACATATGGTGAAGAAAAGTGAGTAATAAGGTGGGCGTACAGGTATACCACATATCATGGTGAAGATAAGTGAATAATAAGGTGGGCGTACAGGTATACCACATATGGTGAAGATAAGTGAGTAATAAGGTAGGCGTACAGGTATACCACATTTCATGGTGAAGAAAAGTGAATAATAAGGTAGGTATACAGGTATACCATGTATCGTGAAATTCAAGCTTATTCCAGTTTGTAGAGCGCAGCAAAATTTGTATATAGGCCATTGGGAAAACCAGTCCTTCATTATAGGTGGTGAAGGGGTTTGAGGTGGAGCCTACTTTCTTGGGAGTCTGTTATTTGGAAGTCACAACCATTTTATACTGTTCTTTGAACGTTTTTACCCAGATATTTTCCCATTCCTGTGTGTAATCTTCTGGTTCTGCATCCAAAGGGAAGAAACAAGTCGAAGCAGGAGAGACGGTGGGTGGGGTGGGAAGCCCTGTGCTGCAGTAGGGCCACAGCAGTTAAGGAAATCTTGGGATTAAGGTTTCTCTGTTAAAGAGTTGATTAAAAAAAAAATTTGTGTGTATTTTTTGTAGAGACGGGGTTTCACCATGTTCCCAGGCTAGTGTTCCTAAGTGCAAGAAGTGCCTTGGCCCAAAGTGCTGAGATTACAGGCGTGAGCTACTATGCCCAGCCGAGTTTTTTTTTAAGCAAATACAACCTCATAAATTGGGTGGGATACTGTTGGGTTTTGTGTTACAGTGAAAAGAACACTTTGGGATAGGTCTAAACCACTAAATGTGTGATTTTACTCTCTCCGAGCCTTAAAGTTCTTCCATGCGCAGTGGAGGGTAGGGGGTTATATCTGTATTTGAGAGGATTGGACACCTACCTGTGTGTTGCTTCTGTAACGCAGGTGAAACGCCTCACGTGGTCAGATCTCAGTGAATGGTAGTGATGCTATGGAGACACAAAGCTCAGGGGCAGCATACTAGTAATGTGGATGTACCAAGGGGTCACAAGTGTTACTTGTCCTGTTGAAGCTGTCTTTGCTCGCACTGAAGTGTTGGAGACATTTCTAGTTCTTTACCTTGTACTCTCTTTAGCGACAGCTCCTTTCTACTCTTAATGCTTACAGTATTTGAACCTCTGGCCTTTATTGGAAAAGTTGATGTGAAATAAGGCATTTTTACTTGTTGACTAGTCACTCCATGGAATGAAGACCTTCCTGTCCTTTGTGTTTTTGGTCATTCATTATGGAATGAGAAACAAAGCCTCCTATTAAAAGGAGTTTCAGATGTCAACAAGTCAGTAGGGAGAAGATAGAGGAGACAAAAGTCCCTACTACACTTACTTTTTATTTATTCATGTTTTTGAGATGGAGTCTCACTCTGTTGTCCAGGCTGGAGTGCAGTGACACGATCTCGGCTCACTGTAACTTGCGACTCCCAGGTTCAAGTGATTCTCCTGCCTCAGCCTCCTGATTAGCTGGGATTACAGGTGCACACCAGCACACCGGGCTAATTTGTGTATTTTTAATAGAGATCCAGTTGCACCATGTTGGTCAGACTGGTCTCTAACTCCTGACCTCATGATCCACTCACCTTGGCCTACCAAAGTGCTGGGATTACAGGAATGAGCCATCATGCCCGGCTACACTTACTTTTAAGGGAGGCTTCAATAAAAAACCTGACTTTTAGTCTTTTTTGAGCCAGCTGCCACAGGGAGGGGAATCTACAGGGCCTCACCATTCCACATAGCTCCTTTCTTCTTTTGGGGATGGGCCGAGGACAATCCTGGGGTCTTACAGAAGAAGATTGTGGTTGGTGGGCTGTGGTCAGCCATGGCTCTTTCCTGCCTTACTCCAGGCTTTTGTCCCTGCTAGGTCTCTTCCCATGCCATCCTGACCTTAGAAGACTTTCCTTTTTTTCCCTTCATCACAATTCCTTATTTTGTTACTGACTGCTAAGTTTGACGTATTTGATGTTATTTCAATTGTCATTTAATACCCTTCAGATTGAAGCACTGCTTTTCTGATATTCTGAGCAAATCCCTATTTTATTTTTGCCACTTGTAATAATATAAAGAAGTTACTCTTGGACAGGGCAGCAGGGATTACTGATTCTGATTGGGCCAGTGACTAGAATATGAGTAGAAAGTGTGAGGTCTAATTTGAACCTGTTTGAGAGTTACTATTTGCAGATTTTAGTCAGCTTGTGATAGGCCAGGTATTTTGTCTGGACCTGGAGTTATCTTTGACTTGTAGACAGAATAAGGACCTGGAGAACAGTCAGGTATCCACTTGGCGTCCTTTTATTTGACCTGTTACAGTTAGTACTCTTCTGGGATCCAGGCTGCCAAACCTGCCAAGTCTGACCCATATCCAGATTTCCCAGTGCACTGAGGAGGTCATCTGTGGCCCTGATGAAGCCAGTGCTTTTTGGGAAAAATGGCGCAAGGCAATGCACTACAGAAGCAGTGCACCCAGGAGTTAAGATCAAGTTCTGTGGCCCCCCACTTGCTGTTTCAGAAAATGCTCTGCTTCCTTCCTAGCTGACTTGACCTCCAGCATTAACAAGTGGAGGTGAGGAAGCAGGGTCTGCACTCTTGAGTCTGCTCCTCTGGCTCCAGGCGTATTTTCTGAAACTGGACTCTTCTAGCCCTTAGCTTGTCAAGTTAGCCTGGCCAGAGTCTGGAGCCAATTGTTCCACTGGGCCATCGGCTATGACACTCTGCTCTCCATGGGCCGCTATGCACCCCTCTACTGTCCTTAGGATGGTTTGGAGCCTTCGATCCAGGGCAAGGAGGTGGGGTTCAGTGAGTACAGGGCTGAGCGGGTCTTCTAGCAGTGACTCTCGCATCACATCGCTGAGTCTATAGTCGGCTTGGGCCAGCAGCTGCAGGTGCAAAAGTGTTTTCTTTTTTATCCTGAAAAGACAAAGTCATAGGAACCAAATAAGTAAATGTAAAGAAAATAACTTGCCTGAACTTGCTGCTTTCTCCACAAATAGCTGTTGTAGCTGATAGTCTTGGCCCTTCTCCCCCAGAGTCTTCTCAAGCACATTTAAATGAAAAACAGGTAAAAAGGAATAAATGAAGGCAAAATCCAGTATCTTGCAGTCCTTTGCCCAATTGCCATTTGATCAAGAAGCCCGCATAGCCATTTGTACTCTAATAACAGTGATGTGGGGCCATATGCATTTTCTCTGACAAGGCTAAGGGAATCAAAACCAAAATGACACTTAGAATTTTTCAAGGAGTTTTTTGTTTTGTTTTGTTTTGTTTTGTTTTGTTTTGTTTGTTTTGTTTTGTTTTGAGACAGAGTCTCGCTGTGTCGCCAGGCTGGAGTGCAGTGTGGTGCAATCTTGGCTCATTGCAACCTCTGCCTCCCGAGTAGCTGGGACTACAGGCACGCACCATCGCACCCAGCTAATTTTTGAATTTTCAGTAGAGACGGGGTTTCACTACGTTGGCCAGGCTGGTCTCTGCCTCCCAAAGTGCTGGGATTAACAGGAATGAGCCACCATGCCCAGCCTTCAAGGAGATTTAAAGTAGGTGAAATGAGGCCGGGTGTGGTGGCTCAAGCCTGTAATGCCAGCTCTTTGGGAGGCCGAGGCGGGCGGATCACGAGGTCAAGAGATGGAGATCATCCTGGCCAATGTGGTGAAACCCCGTCTCTACTAAAAATACAAAAATTAGCCGGGCGTGGTGGTGTGTGTCTGTAGTCCCAGATACTCGGGAGGCTGAGGCAGGAGAACTGCTCGAACCCAGGAGGCAGAGGTTGCAGTGAGCCGAGATTGTGCCACTGCACTCCAGCCTGGCGACAGAGTAAGACTGTCTCAAAAAAAAAAAAAAAGTAGGTGAAATGAGAGAAGTTTGCCATCTCAAAAGCCCTCAGTACTGCCAGCCTTTCTTTCTTGCCAACTTTATTTCTGTGTGTCAGATTTTAAAATCACAGATAAAAATGTGGGACCCATCTTCAGGATTTCAGTTTCTTTTTATGTGGGAATCCGACTTGAACTCTGATGCGTAAGCAGCTTAATTGACTTTTGTCATAAGCAGGTACTGCTCACCCAGTCCTACTCAGGAGGCAGTGAAAGGAGGCCAGACAGAAGCTTGTTTAAATTAGCCTAAGACGTAGATGAAGAGTACTCATGCTCTGCTCTGAGTTTTCCAGCTGGAAACGAGACGTTTTTGCTAGGTGTGACTATCATATTGATAATTAACTGTGGATACTGCAGCTGAGCAGGTGGTCAATTTTACAAGCCTGGCTGAAACACCAGTGAAGTATGGAAGTAGGTTAGATATTCTCTAGAGAAATGGTGGCCAAGCAAGGGCCTTCGTGCCGCCTTCTAGTCGGCACAGGTTTATAGGACTTTAATCAGGATTTTGCTTAGATGGTGAACAAATCGTAATATTTATGAGCTGATATGAGTTCTGGGCAAAGCAGAGGTCTGGTTAGTAGTATCAAAATCCAGCAGACTGCAAAAATAGGTGATTATCTAAGTAGGTCAACGATTAAAGTTGGCAACTGAAAGGTTTAAAGGATTAAATCCTAATTCATCCTATGTGGAAGGATGAAAAGACATGTTGTGGGGAAAATTTTGGTAGTTGTAGTACAGTCATGAATTGCTTACTGATGGGGATATGTTCTGAGGAATGTATCCTTAGGTAGCTTTGTCACGGTGTGAACATCAGAGTACTCACACAAACCTAGATGGTGTAGCCTTCTGCACGCTTAGGCTATATGATGTTGCCTGCTGGCTACAAACCTTTACAACACAGTGGTGAGCATCTGTGTATATGAACATATCGAAACAAAATACAGTAAAAAAATACTGTAAAATGCAGTAAAAACACCATATTATTAACATAGTCTTATGGGACCACCGTCATCTATGCAATCTGTCAGTGGCTGAAATGTCATTATGCAGTGCATGGATGTTTAAGAAATGAGGTAATCCATGACATCTACCCACCTATGTCCTAGACCAGTGAAAACTGATGAAGCCCTTCAGACCTTGGCTGCAAGCAGCATGAAGGGTCACAACTGTTACTTGTTACTTGCCCTTGTGATCTGCTGCAGGAAAACTTACATGCAGCACTGAGAGAGAGGCGAGAGGATGGAGATTTCATCATGGGAGTGTCGTCCGAACCTAGGAGGAGAAACAGGCTTTTATGGGTGGCTGGTAGCATCCTTCTCATTCCCTGGAGGTTTCCTCTCTCCTCTCAGCATTTTGTGAATCACAGATTGTGGCAAAATGCCAGGGATCATGGCAGCTGCCTCTCCAGCCCGTTTCACCCCAGTCAGACCACAATAACCTCTGTACAAAGATGTTAAAGCTAAGCAATCCTGTTTTCCTTCATTCATTCACTAGCTGCAGAGGGCCAGTCACTGAGAGTACACCTTGCTCTCGAAAACCTCACCCTGTTTCACTAGAGGGCACACGAGGTGCTGCTCTCAGGCTGGAGGAGGGTCAAGTGGTACATACAAAGGTAAAGAGAAGGAAATGGAAGAAGCAGGGCTAGGAGACAAGGCACATGATGGTAGAGCCCGTTTGCAGGGCATCAGTGTCTGGCTGCACACAGCAGCACATCTGGGAGAGGGGAGCATTGGACACACGTAGGGACACTCACCCTCTGGCATTGTCAAGGTGAATAAGGAACCCATCGTCCCCGAACTTGGTGAACATCTCGTAATGGTGCCGGTCCATATTTCCTGTGAAGGAGGGGAGAACTCAGAGCCGGGACCAGCAGACCAGGGGGACAGGTGCTCCTGACCTGAGTTCTCTCCAGGGAATGGAAGCCTGTCATCACTTCAGAGGCAGGGGCCTGAATGAAGCTGGGACTCACAATGTCATCTCTCCAGGGCATCAGTGAAGCAGCCGCAGGAGGGAGAATGAAGCAGGAAGCGAAACAAGCAAACCATAAATGAACTTGTTTCAAGTCTAAGGCTTTCACCTCTGCCCCTGTGCCAGCTGTTGGCCAGGGATTTGAATGTGCAGAAAGTTACCTTTGCACCTCGTGTCCATGTTGACATTGGCTTTCCTCAGCCCTGAGATCCTCAGCTGAGCCTGGTTGTAGTAAACAGACACAGCTAAGCTTCCTGAAAGGCGTGATGACGAGCCGGATGTCTGACCTGCTTCGGACCTAAGCTCCTGTGTGATGGCCACCTTCCTAAGTGTCTCCTTTTCTCCCTGGAAGTCCCTGTGGGCCTGGAAGGTGGAATTACTATCTTGTGTGCGGTGGCCTTGCCTGAGGCCCTCCCTGCTACATATTTGTTGTGTACTTTCTTTGCCTAGTTTCCCCTCACATGCTGATATGAACAGACAACCTCCAATCTCATGCCCACTCAGGCCTGTGGCAGGGTGGGATGCCTGCCTTATGAGTGACGACTCCTTCAACTTCTTCCAGTTCTTTGAAGACAGGGAAGCCCATTACCTTCTGTCCTCTGGGACCTCTGCCACTTCTGGGGCTGTGGGAGGTGCAGAGTTACTCAGTCCTCATGAACCAGTTTGTAAGTCTGTGCTCAAGGTCACAGGGAACCCTCACCACACAGCAGAGCCCACTTCTGCTGGCGGCCTGGGCGTGGAGACCTACCTATCAAGAAATCGAAGATGGCCATGTCGATGACATTGAGGAGCCGCTGGCTGTTGTTGTACGGGTAGATCTGTTTCACTGTGTCACAGTAAAGGGGATTGACCTCCCACCTGAGGGGGAGAAGAAGTCCTGGGGCTGGAAAAGCCAAGATGGCAGGGTGTTGGGGGCTCACCCCACACCTCTCCTCCACCCCCCAATCCCTGCCTCCCTGATCCTTCCCTGGGCTGGTGGCAGCTTCTCACATTCAGAAAGACCCTGGGCAAGAACACATAAGGCTGCGTATTCCATGTGGTGAGAAGGTTCTGGGTCCTTCAACTCTGGTGGACACTAAACCCATGGCTGGGATACTGCATGCCAGAGTGGAGATGTCAGGCAGGCAGGAAAGGTGGGGCAATGACCCTCACCTGCTTCTTTGTCCCTCCCTTCACATTCCCTCTCACCAAGTCTCTAGGCCCCTGGCCCTCCAGGGCTCCTGCACCACTCATAGACCCTCCATGGGCTGTTCCTGCTCTTTCTCTCTCACACATGGTTTTCTGCCTACAATGCTCGAATGCCCATTTTCACCTGAGGGCTCTTCTCTGCCTTCATAGAGTCCCTTAGGATCTGCCATGTCCTCCAGGCATTCTGCCTGGTTACTTCTCTTTCCACTATGATTGCGATGGCTTGACTGATGGATCGATTCAGTCAGTTAGTGTTGAGTACCTGCTACGTGCCAGGGAGGATGCTATGTCCTAGGGATACAGCAGTGAGGTCCTTGGCTTCCCAGGTCTTGCTCAGGGGAACCAGGTGTCCCTCCCATGGGGTCTTGTATGCTTCCTGGTTACTTATAGCAAGTGCTGTGGTGTATTTTCATGATCTGGCTACATGTCTGTCCTCCCCACTAGACCAAGGAGCTTCTCAAAGGGAGAGTCAGAGTCTTCCACTTCTGTATCCGGTAGCACCTAGTGTTGGATACATGGAAGGCTCTTTATAACTGGATAAATGAGCTAAAGGGAGAAAACAGACCCAGGCCTGCTGATCTCAGGATCAATATGAAATGGGGCAAAGGCGTATTGAGGCAGCTTTTTAGATTCAACAACCAAGCTAACTATAAGTGCCTGGTACAGGGTCTGTGGCTACTGTCAAGGACTAGACTGTGTGGCCTGGGGACCAACTCACTCCTCTTTTCCTGCCAGTGAGTAGGAGCGGATCCAGGGGTTGGGCACAGACAGCCTGGGGGCCAGGTTGAGGGACGGCAGGAAGGCGGAGAGGGAGCCCTCCAGCAGGTGTGGGTTGCCACAGACAGCATACTCCGTCTTGCACATGTATGGACACTTGGCGAAGAAGCACATGTTGCTGGCTGGAGGATGGGGAGGAGAGAGGAGAAGGAGTAAGAGGAGGGCTCTGGAGGCATGCCATCTTCCTGCCCTAGGAAGTCCACTGGGAGGGAAGGGAAGAAGAAGAAGGAAACATTGACTTTTCCAGAAGTGAGGGTGTGAATGCTACTAAGCTGAACCTCCTGGGTACCTGCTTTCCAATGTCCCAGTCTCACGCCATTCTATCCTTATGAATAGAACACTCTTCCCTCTCTGGGTGGATGACATGTGGTGCGGGGGAGGCCAGCATTGTAGGGTCAATGCCCACACGGACGAGGTAGCATCTCACACACAACCTTCTCCCATCCACAGTTCTTCGTGTGTTACGGTCAAGCAGACCACGGTGGGAGGGTCTTACAACCTCATACGCCCCTCCCAGGAATGGATAGTGCTAGCAGCAGGGGGTCAATCCCCTGCCGAATGCAGGGGTGGGCACTCTGGCTTACTATGTACTTAGACCCGGAATATCACTCGAGCCAGCACTCTACCTGGAGAGACAAAGAAAACACTCTGCAGGATTTCATTCTTGGTGACCTCTAGGATTTCCTTGGTGACATTCACTAGCCTCCCCACTGTTGGTGGCACCCGTCGGAAGTCCAGAATCCTGCAAGAGAGGAAGCTCTGTTCCATCTGAGCAATGATCAGGGAGTGGGGAGGAGGGGTTTTGTCCCCTGGCCAGTGCACATTAGGAATTGGCTGGTGTGCCCAGGAGGGTGGCCGGTGAGGCGGGGCTCCGTTGTGTTGAGCTGGTAATGCCCAGGTCAACACTGGGCCTTTAAACTTATGTCTAAAGTAGGGGAGATGGCGTAGAAAATGAATCCTTATTCCGTCAAGCCTCCTGGGCAAACCTTCCCACCATCCCAACTTCATTCTTGCTCAGTGCTTCTCATATTTTAATGTCCCTATGAGTCATCTGGCAATCTTATTCAAATACAGGCTCTGATTCAGTGGTTCTAGGGTGGGGCTGAGATTCCTTATTTCTAAAAAGCTTATTGCAAATGCCGATGATGCTGCAGACTGCACTTTGGGTAGCAACGACTGAGCAAATAGAGGAATGTGCTTTCACCTAATATCATAACAGTGGGACTCCTTGGATAAATAGGAGTGGGTGCATTCTCCTTATCTCAGATCAGGAAACTAGAGCAGCTGCCCCAGGCAGCATGGCAGGGAGCATGTTCTTTGTAGGTTGTTCTTTTCATTATATACATTAAAAGGCCTTGTGTTTTTTCATCTGTGGGTTGCATGGGACATTTTGGGTTCAAAGACACCACACTGAAGCATGAAGAAGATAAAAAGCCAGAAAGAAGAAATGCCAGGGAGTTCCCACCTGAGGGTCTGTCCAGCCACTCCTCCCAGAGGGTTGCAACTTACAGGCAGTGTCACCTCCGTGGGGCCAGACCCTACCTGTCCAGATGGAAAGCTGCGATCTCAGCATTGTGTCTCTGAAAGTCAATGAAGTAGAAGAAGTCTACGGGCGTCTCTTCATCTCGCTGCTGTCTGGAAGAAAGGAAGGAATCACGCCCTGGACTCAGACTTCAGCTGGGAGCCTGAGAAGAGAGCTGATGAGCATGACCAGTGAGAAAGGAAAACAGGCTTTTATGCCTTTCATGTACACACAGGCGACGGCATGGCAAGTCAGGAATGGCCTGTGGCTCCCTTGGCCGGGAGAAGACATGCAAAGTGGGAGGAGGCAGGCTTCTGGCAAGACATGGTCCTGCAGGCACCACCAATACCAACTTTCCTACTTAAGAAGCTTTGGTGACAGCGACTGATTATTTTCAAAACCCAGCAGTTGAGAGGGAAGAAACAGACATTCTTCTGAGCATATAAGCAGAAGACACAGGAATGGTTAGCAGAACCAGAGGTAGAGTACAGACCCAGACACCCAAGGATGAAGAAAGGTGGGGTAGGAACCAGGAATTGGTAATGGAAAACTGGCCCAGAAATGCAATTTAGTATGCTAGGGTTGAAGAACAAAAAAGTTCTGGGTCTTAGGGGGATGTGGGGGAAATACGTGGACCATCATCCCCACAGAGACACATAGCGGGATCAGGAGGGCTGAGGGTGGTTCGTGCAGAGGACATTGATTTATACACATTAAAAAAAAATCTCTAATGGATTTCTGAAAAGTGCCAGGCTACCTGAGTGTGGTGGGGCCTGCTGGGTGTGTACATTCAGGAAAGTGCTAATCATTAAGCGTATCATGGTGTCAGTTCTGGCCTTTAGGCTGACTTTGCATCGATGATGCTAATAAACATGGAAGAATGATGATCTTCGAATAATTTTATCATCCACTGAGTGGGACTGTTAAAATGACTGCAAAGTAATGTTAAATGTAAACAAACGTAATGTTGCAGAAAGCTGTAAGTAAGAAGCACTGGCAATTCAAATCGTGATGCACATTTTGCCAAAAACCACAAGTGAGTCCTGGAAACCACAGTGAGGTGCTGCCAAAAGTGGAGATTCTGTTATAAAAGGTGCAGCCACATGTACAGCACAGCCCTCCATGCTCAGGCCTGACCAGCTTCTCATCATCGATGCTGGGTATCTAGGCTAGAAAGCATAGTCCCTCTTGCCAGTCTCGTTTTGATTCCTGGATCCCATCTATAGGAACACAGCATTTCTCAGACACCCTTTAGGATCCTCTAAAACGTTTTCTCATTTTTGTATGACCTAAGATAGAAGTGATTTTAAATTCGAAGGTTGTTTTTACTTTCTATCAATGCTTCTCATACTTTGAGAAGCAAGGATGCATGTTTCATTATACATTATATTGTATATATTACATTTTAAGAATATAATCTTTATGTTCCTAATGTATGTTTTCCAAAGATAAATTTCTACGTTCTGTCTTTCATCAGGAAAACAAAGGTGTTTGCCTGAAATTACTTACAGAAAAAAATGTAATTTTTCAAGAAGTACATTTTAAAATGATACTATTTTAGATTTTGGACTACATTTTATAAAAATGTAGATTACACTGTGTTGTGGTATAAAAATAGGTAACATTGGCGCTATCACTGAATGTTGGAGGCTTTTGCATTATAGTTGGGAAAAAGCTGGTGAATTTGAACAATTTTTGTATCGTCGTCCCTTGGAGATATGGCAGGTTTGGTTCCAGACCACTGCAATGACGCAAATAGCAATAAAGCCATTCATGCAGATGTTTAGGTTTCCCACCCAATCAATATAACAGTTGTGTTTTTATTATGCTGGAGTCTATTAAATGTGCAATAGCACTATGTTTAAAAAATGTATACATTTTAATGGAAAAACACTTTATTGCTAAAAAATGCTAACACTCATCTGAGCATTCAGCAAGTCATAGTCTTTTTGCTGACTGACTCGGGTGGTGGTTGCTGAAGGTTTGTGTGGCTATGGCAACCTTTAAAAATAAGACAACACCTGTAATCCCAGAACTTTGGGAGGCTGAGGTGGGCAGATCATGAGGTCAGGAGATCGAGACCATCCTGGTCAGCATGGTGAAACCCCATCCCTACTGAAAATACAAAAATTAGCTGAGTGTGGTGGTGTACACCTGTAATCCCAGCTACTTGAGAGGCTGAGGCAGGAGAATCCCTTGAACCCAGGAGGCGGAGGTTGCAGTGAGCCAAGATCGTGCCTCTACACTTCAGCCTGGTGACAGAGTGAGACTCCATCTCAAAAAAAAAAAAAAAAGTTTTCTGCATCGATTCACAAAAGATTTATCTGTAGCATGCAATGTTAAGAGCATTTTATGCACAGTAGAACTTCTGTCAAAACTGAAGTCAATCCTCTCAAACCCTGCTGCTGTTTTATCAGCTAAGTTTGCATAATATTCTAAATCCTTTGTGGCCATTTCAACAATGTTCACAGCATCTTCACCAGGAGTAGATTCTATCTCAATAAACCACTATCTTTGCTTATCCATAAGAAGCAACTCCTTGTCTCTTCAAGCTTGATCATGCAATTGCAACAATTCAGTCACATTTTCAGGCTCCACTTCTCATTCCAGTTCTCTTGTGATTTCTTCGTCTGCAGTTATCTTCTCCACTGAAGTCTTGAACACTTCAAAGTCATTTATGAGGATTGAAATCAATCTTCTTTTAAACTCCTGTTAATGTTGACATTTCTAACTTCCTTCCATGAATCATGCATTTTCTTAATGGCATCTAGAAGGGTGAATCCTTTCCAGAAGGTTTTCAAATAACCTTGTTCAGGTTGATCAGAGGAATCACTAACTGAATCACTAACTATGGCAGCTATAGCCTTACAAAATGTTTTTCTTAAATTGTAAGACTTGAAAGAATGACTTGTTGGTCCATGGGTTGCAGAATGAATGTTGTGTTAGCAGGCATGAAAACAATATTCATCTCCTTGGACATCTCCAGCAGAGCTCTTGGGTGACTAGGTGCTTCGCCAACTAGTGGTAATATTTTGAAAGGATTTTTTTTTCTTTTTTTTTGCTGAGCAGTAAGGTCTCAACAGTAGACTTAAAATACTCAGTAAACCATGCTGTTAACAGATGTGTGGTCATCCAGACTTTGTTGCTCCATTTATGGAGCACAGGCAGAGTAAATTTAGCATCATTCTTGAGAGCCTGAGGATTTTTTGAATGCCGATTGAGCATTGGCTTCAACTTTAGCTACCAGCAACATTGTCACCTAATGAGAGTCAGCCTGTCCTTTGAATCTTTGAAACCAGGCATTGACTTTTCTTCTGTAGCTATGAGGAAAGTCCTAGATGGTATCTTCTTCCAATAGAAGAAGGCTGTTTCATCTACACTAAAAATCTATTGTTAGTGTAGCTATGTTCATCAATGATCTTAGTGAGATCTGGATAACTTGCTGCAGCTTCTCCATCAGCATTTGCTGCTTCACCTTGCACTTTTATGTTATGGAGATGGCTTCTTTCCTTAAACCTCACTAACCAACCTCTGTTATCTTCCAAATTTTCTTCTGCAGCTTTCTCACCTGTCTCAGCCTTCACTGAGGAGCGTTAGAACCCTGCTATGGATTAAGCTTTGGCTTAAGGAAATGCTGTGGCTGGTTTAATCTTCTATCCAGATAACTTAAACTTGCTCCATATCAGCAATGAGGCTGTTTTGCTTTCTTATCATTCGTGTGTTCACAGGAGCAGCGCTTTCAATTTCCTTCAAGAACTTTTTGTTTGAATTCACAACTTGGCTAACTGGCACAAAAAGCTTAGCTTTCTGCTTGTTGGCTTTCAACATGCCTCCTCACTAGCCTCACGAATCATTTCCAGCTTTCCATTTAAAGTGAGAGATGTGACACTCTTCCTTTCCTGTGAACACTTAGAGGCCCTTGTGTTACTAACTGGCCTGATTTTAATATTATTGTGTCTCAGGGAATAGGGAGGCTTGAAGAGAGAGAGAGAGACTGGGGGAACAGGCAGTTGTTGGAGCAGTCACAACACACATTTAGGCCAGGCACAGTGGTTCATGCCTGTAATCCTAGCACTTTGGGAGACCAAGGTGGGCGATCACTTGAGGGCAGAAGTTCAAGACCAGCCTGGCCAACACAATGAAACCCCTTCTCTACGAAAAATAGAAAAAATTAGCTGGGCGTGGTGGTGGGCGCCTGTAATCCCAGCTACTCGGGAGGCTGAGGCATGAGAATTGCCTGAACCCAGGAGGTGAGCTGAGATCGTGCTACTGCACTCCACCCTGGGCAACAGACTGAGACTCTGTCTTGAAAAAAAGATGTTTATTAAGTTCACTGTCTTATATGGGCATGATTTGTGGTGCCTCAAAACAATTTCAAAATTAACATCAAAGATCACAGATCACAGACTGCCATAACACATGTAATAATAAAAGAGTTTGAAGGCCAGGAGCAGTGGCTGATGCCTGTAATACCAGCACTTTGGGAAGTGGAGGTGGGTGGATCACCTGAGGTCAGGAGTTCGAGACCACCCTGGCCAACATGGTGAAACCCTGTTTCTACTAAAAATGCAAAAATTAGCCAGGTGTGGTGGCTGGCACTTGTAGTCTCAGCTACTCAGAAGGCCGAGGCAATAGAATCACTTGAACCCAGGAGGCAGAGATTGTAGGAGCTGAGATCGCACGATTGGACTCCAGCCTGGGTTGCAGAGTGAGGCTCTGTCTCAAAAAAAAAAGTTTGAAATATTATCAGAATTGCCAAATGTGACCCAGAGACAAGAAGTGAGCAAATGCTGTTGGAAAAAATAGCATGATAGATTTGCTTGATACAGAGTTGCACAAGCCTTCAATTTGTAAAACAAAAACCATAATATCTGCAAAGTGCAATAAACTGAAATGCAGATACAGCGAAATTTGTTTTAACTGACCAGGCAGAGAAGAAGTTTTAGGCTGTGAGTTATGTTACTTTATTTTCCTGCAAAGGAAACACTACGGGTTCTAGTAGTTTTTCTTCCCCAATACAAAAGAACTAAGGGTGGCGCTCATCCACTGCATATTAGCTTCCATTTTAAACAAATTAGAGACATCTGGCTGGGTGCGGTGGCTTACGCCTGTATCCCAGCACTTTGAGAGGCCAAGGCGGGGGAATCACCTGAGGTCAGGAGTTCAAGATCAGCCTGGCCAACATGGAGAAACCTTGTCTCTACTAAAAATACAAAAATTAGCTGGGCAGGGTGGCATGCACCTGTAATCCCAGATGCTCAGGAGGCTGAGGCAGGAGAATTGCTTGAACCTGGGAGGCCGAGGTTGCAGTGAGCCGAGATGGCAACACTGTATTCCAGCCTGAGCCACAAGAGCAGAACTCCATCTCAAAGAAAAAAAATTAGAGACATCCTATTGTGCCACATGCAAATTTTGCTCAGAGAACAGACTCTATGGTCCTGGTGATTTGTGGTGCATTTGCAGATTTGTCATTACTTTTATGCTTCTTGTTAATGTCTCATGTTTCTCTGTCAGTGTTCCTTATGTTGCCTCTCTCTAACTGGTGCTCTCTGTTGAATATATATTATGCGTGCTTGACTAACAGTAACAATAATTTAAAACTCCGTAACAACCAGAAGCTCACTGGTGGCTCTTGTGTTCAGCTGAGTGTTGTGCCAAAGAGTCACATGTCTACTTGTGGAACCTCTGCTAATTGCCCTGTGTATTGGCTGTTCAGATCATTTCAAAGGATCACATGTATTTATTTATGTATTTTATTTATTTATGTACTCTTTATGCCAGAATATAAGATAAGGTCTCTCCTGAAATTGTCCCTTGGAGAGGAGTCTCTGTATTCAAGCCCTGACATAGTCAATCACTTTATTTTGTTTGGGACAGATACATTAACCTGGAATGACTTGACTTTGTGGTGGTTTTACTGCCTAGTGTAACTGGTCACATCAGCTTATTGGTGGTGATGGGGGAGGGGAGTGGGGAAATAATTTAATATTGATTTAACGTTCACCCTCAACTTGACTCTAAGTGATGATGACAAACAATGCCCCAAATTTTTTGACAAGTAAAATCTATATTTTACTTGTCAAAACTTTGTCAAAAAAAGCAATATTTCTAAATAAATATACTGTTTTTTATGATGGGATTTAAAAATCAATATAAATATAAGCATAGATTCAATTGTTCCATGTACATTTCCGGAAAGTTTTAAGTTGATCTAACAACTAGGATTTTGGGTCTTTCACATACGAAAAATGAGAAACTTTTAAAAAAAAAATTTTTTTTTTTTTAAGATAGAGACTCCCTCTGTTGCCCAGGCTGGGGTGCAGTGGTGTAATCTTAGCTCACCACAACCTCCTCCTTCTGGGCTCAAGTGATTCTTCTGCCTCAGACTCCCATGCAGCTGGGACTATAGGTGTGCACCACCACACCTGGTTAATTTTTGTATTTTTTGTAGAGATAGGATATCGCCACATTGGCCAGGCTGGTCTCGAACTCCTGACCTCAGATCATCCAACCACCTTGGCCTCCCAAAGTGCTGGGATTACAGGTGTGAGCCACAGTGCCTGGCAGAGGAACTCTATACAGCAGTGGTTCTCAAGGTTGCCTGAGCCTTGGGATCACAGGGAGAACCCATTGAGCATGCCCACGGGACTCCCTGAGGGTAGGACTCAGGCATAAGGATTTGTAGTAAAGGCTTCTCAAGTTAATGTAACAGGCAACCGAGCCACTCCAACCCCTCCTTTAAGGAGGTGCTTTTGCCAAAGCGATTTGGACTAAAACTCTTTATTCAATGTTTATTCAAGTAGGCCTTGCCAATAAGAACCATCTGCCGGGCCAATCAATAGGCTTCCCCTTGAATGGCTGAAGGTTTGGAATCTCCCAGTCTAATTGCATTCCACTGGAAGAAGCACATTCTGGAGGAAAGCATGACTTGGGTATTGGGGCTCCTCTTGGGGTGATTTTCTTTTCTGCATGTCATCTCATCATCTCAAGGAGGAACATTCCCTTGGGCTAAGGCACTGGGGCCTTACTCCAGGACTTTTTACTCTAGGAGACCCCAACCTGTGGGCTGCAGATCCTTTGGGGACCAGAAAACCAAACTCACACCAAGCTCTGTCTAAGGACTAAATACATATTATTTCACCCATCTGTATGTTTTACAATAGTCTCAAGGCATGTAGTTGCTGTTGTTTTGAATAAAATATACATTAATGTAAACATGTAATTGACTTCCTAGTAGCCTTTCTTGATTGTCTAGTTTTTCGATTGAAACAAGTATTGCTGTATATAACTCTGTAAACTTTTTGATGTCAAAAAGAGGGTGCTATCCCTGGAAAAAAAGTGGGGACCCATTGAAGTGGTGGAGTGTGATCTTAGCAATCCAGCTGCCTAGGTTTGAATCTGGGTCTGCTGTTTGCAGCTGGATGATTGGGATGAGATGGTCTCTTTCAGCATCAGTATCTTTATCCATAAAGTGGACATTATAAGAGTACCTGACTCATAATCTTACCTATGATCCAAGGACACAATTTAGGCCATTGTGTGGCATAGATGCTAGTATAGTCCTGATAACGACAAGCTCTTGGTATTTTCAATTGTTATTATTATCACCCAAAACGGTTCTATGCTTGGACAGATTAGAGAATCTCTGAATAACTGGCAGAAAGATTTTGGGTCACTTTTATGAGTTTTTGGTCCAAATTTTCCCAGGGCCGCCCCAACAGGGTGTGGAAAGGAGGAAGGCAGTCACTTACCTCATGGGTTTGAACATGGCCTTCCCGAAATCTGAGAACCTCAGCACCAGCTTGAGGTGGACCCCACTGGGTTTCACAACTGTGAAAGGCAGAAGGGTGGGTTAAGCCCAGGCATGTGACTGTTCCTTCAATAAGCCCAGCCAACTTCTCTTTTGTCTTATGCAATGAGACCCTGAAGACTAGGATGTGGTCATCGTAGCCTGCAGGGTAAATGCCATGGTGTCAGGCCATAGTGACTCTGTCCAGGGGTTCAAGACAGTACTTTTTACGTTTGGAGGTGAAGGCTGGAGGATCGCCCGAACCCAGGAGTTTGAGACCTGTCTGGGCAATACAGTGAGGACCCCGTCTTGAAAAACAAAAAAAGGACATTTTCTGCTGGGATGGGAAAAGAGCAAAAAATACAATTAGGACGTTTAGTGAAAACCCTAAAGAATGTTTTTCTAAGAAGAATGAACCCTTTCCTCTTTGTGTTTCAACTACATCTTTGTAGATTCTATTTATGCCATCTGTTGTATTAGACTAGTTTGTTCATCTATGCCTCTTTCCACTTAAGACTGTACACCTGGGCTGGGACCAAGGCTTGGCAAATGAGTGCTCCTTAGGTGCAGGGAGTGCTACTTCCTTAAATTTTGCATCCTGGGCACCTCACTTGCCTTACCCTCTCCCTGGTCCTGGAGGATCAGGACAATATCTCACTCACCTTGTGTTCTAGAAAATGGTTGATGGCAGGTGCTTAACTGGAGAAAAGGGAAGCTTGGGGTTGTGTAAACCTTTGTTTTTCAAACCTTAGTGATACGGTTAGGCTTTGTGTCCCCACCCAAATCTCATCTCAAATTGTTGAGGGAGGGATGTTGTAGGAGGTAATTGGATCCTTGGGGTGTTTTCCCCTATGCTGTTCTTGTCATAGTGAGGTCTCACAAGATCTCATGGTTTTATAAAGGGCTCTTTCCCCTTTGCATCCTCTCTTTCCTGCTGCCATGTGAGATGTGCCTTGCTTCCCCTTCACCTTCCACCATGATTGTAAGTTTCCTGAGACCTCCTAGCTATGCTTCCTGTGAAGCCTGCAGAACTGTGAGTCAAATAAACCTCTTTCCTTTATAAATTACCCAGTCTCAGGCATGTCTTTACAGTAGTGTTAAAATGGACTAATAAAGTTTGACATGCCCTGTCAGATGTAGTCACATGTAGACATTTCTGATGTGTGTTCCACACATTGAAGTAAAGGGATGGGGCCGCTCATGGCTGGTGATGACAGGCCTAATGACTTTAGGGTCTAGACCCACCTATAACCAGGTCACAGCACTCCTGGAGGGGAGCTCCGCCACTCTCAGTCCTAGCTTTTCGATTCCATTAATCACTTATCCTAGTGAGTCTCAGCCCTGGCTACATTAGAATCACCTAGGCCTCACTGTCTGCACTTGAATCAAAATTCCTGGAGCTGGAGGCTGGGCAGGAACAGTTTTTAAAGCTCCCCCAGTGATTTATATATGTGTGTGTGTATATATATATATATATATATATATATATATATATGGAGAGAGAGAGAGTCAGACAGACAGACAGACAGACAGAGATACAGAGTCTCACTCTGTTGCCTAGGCTGGAGTGCAGTGGTACGATCTCGGCTCACTGCAACCTCCGCCTCCCAGGTTCAAGTGATTCTTCTGCCTCAGCCTCCTGAGTAGCTGGGATTACAGGCACATGCTACCACACCCAGCTAACTTTTTATATTTTTGGTAGAGATGGGATTTTACTGTGTTGGCCAGGCTGGTCTCGAACTCCTGACCTCAAGTGATCCACCTGACTCCCAATGTGCTGGGATTACAGGTGTGAGCCACTGCACCTGGCCAATTCTAATATTTTGTTAATAGTGGGAACCATTTGCTTCTTGAATTTGAAAGCGTGCTCCAATCGCTTGAGGATTTTGTTAAAATTCAGGTTCTGATTCAGAAAGAGAGTGAGACTCTGCGTTTCTGATGAGCTCCTCAGTGATGTTGATGATGCTTTTCCTGGGCCATGCATTGCCCAGTGGGGCCTACAGAGCCCTTCCTCTTAAGTGCCTTTTCTTGTTGTGGGTGGGTGGAGGGAAATGTTGAGTTCTCAGAGGTTAGGCAGAGAACCATGCTCCTTCCACTCTTGCCCAAAGTGCCCACTGGAGTGGATTCTGGGGTTTGCACAGCTGTGAGGGTGAGGAGGCTGGGTGGGGGCAGGGCCAGATCACTTACTCTGGGTGCAGTCACATGCCCCAAGCAAGGCTTTCTCATCTTGACTGTAATCTGCAAAGAAGGAGAAGGGCCATGAAACTTCCAGTCTTGTTCCTGGGAGAGGCTACAACATGAAGATCCCTTGACTCTGGTACAGATCCCCAGAGGGGAGACTAATGTAGCCAGTGGCCCTTGACCATTTCATGAGAGAGCTCTTGAGCCCAGGAGAATGCAGCCTCCTTCTCTGCTCTGTCACAGACCCCTGCTCTCTAGCCCTTCAGCTGGTACTCCAGCAATACCTGGCTGGGAGACTGAGTCTGGTTTTGTCTCTGCTAATAATTTGCTGTTTCATTTAGATTGTTTTAGTGCTTGACAGCACAGACTTGGTATTAGCAGGCCTGTGTTTGAATCCCAGCTCCACCCTTTAGGTCCTTGGCCAAGTTACTTAACCTTTCTGAGTCTCAGTTTCCCTATCTGTAAAACGGCAATGGTAATATCCATGCCATAAGGTCTTTGGATGAAAGAGAATGCATCATCTGCTTCAAACGAAGCACTCAATAAATGGTAGAGATCACTTTCCTTTAGGTGTAACAAACAAAAGAATACTTACTATATGCCTCCCTTATAGGGTCAGGATGAGATTATTGCTATAGGATCTCTTTCAGAAGGAAAAAGATCAATGCCTATGTTCTTCTGTCTCTCAGGGGTCAGTGTCAAGCCTTTAGTATTCCACTCTGGAGCCTGGCCTGGGATGCTTCACTCAGACTCTCTGGGAGAAAGTCAATCCCTCTTGCTTGATTCCATGAACCTTACCAGCACTGATGGTGGGAAAGTGCCTCATATCTTGCAGAAGTTTGCTGACAATAGGATTGGACTGGGAGTAGAGCCCATGCCGGTTAATACCCAGGTGGAATTGGACCCAGCTGGCCTCGAGTCGGAGCTGCACTGGGGGGTCCAGGGAGGTGAGGTTCATCTGCTCTCTGTACATCTTGTGTCGCCTGGAAAAGAGCCAGATAGTTGTTCATTAGAGGAACAAGAATGCAAAGAGCCACCAAGATACCTTGTCTGCACTTTTTATTCATCCTTTCATTTATTACACAAGCGTATTAAGCATCTAATGAGGGGTAGGCTTTAAGCTGTGCTTAGGATATCATGGGGAGCAAAGCACCTGTGGGGTCCTTTCTTACCCTCAGAGAGCTTACACTCTAGTGAGTGAAACACACAAATAGTTATACAATATCATACACAAATACTTAATTACAAACTATGACAAATCGTGGGAAGGAAAAAAGGCAGATTGCTAAGAGTAAAACTAGGGGCTTCAATAATCTGGGATTTCGGGGCAAGACTGTGGGCTTCTTTGCACACTTTCCCATTAAAAGTCTCTATCTTACATCTCCTAGTATTTTATATTCCGAGGAATCAGAAGATAGAGGAGAGAAGGCAATTGGTAAGAATAAAGAGAAGAGAGGGTGAAGATCTTTAAGTGGGGCTGGAAGCTGAGTTAATCAATACATCATAAAAGAAAAGAAGAATTAACGAGACATTTACTTTTTGTTCTGCTTGGGAAGCTTTTTCTGCCAGGAAAAAAAAAAAAAGAGAAAAATAAAAAACGATGGTGCTACCATTTAGAGACATAGAGTGTAATTCGGGAGACAAGTTGTATGTCTATGAAATAACCAGAGCAAAATACACGGCTGTTATAAATCACCTGCTAACCACGTGGTTCAGACGGAACCGCCTTAACATTTTGGAAAAGGGAAAGATGAATCTAGGATGCAGTAGTCTGAGGACAAGCAGAGTGAAGAAGGCAGACTTCAGCTGGATACTAAAGAATGGGGGGTATTTGGCTTGAAGGGGACAGGGAGGGTACTTCCGCATTGGAGACCACATGAGCACTATGACAGGTAGGCAAGAAACTGGTGTACCTGGGGATGAGAGAGGCAGGTTGAATAAATGGACTGTGGAATGAGAAGACGGAGGCCTCCAGACTGGAAGGGAAGGCAAATTCGTATGACGTCATCTGGCTGGGAAAAGTTGACTGTGAGAGATAGGTGGGATTACAGGGGCAGGGTTTTGCAGTTCCTATATATCCCTATTTCTCAAATGTGATAGTAAACCTCTGGCATCCGGGGCGGGGTGAAAAACAAAACAAAACAAACGTGGCAGATCTGGGAGTGTCAAATTTTCTCATTGGTCAAGAGTTTCAAAAATTACCGCTTTGGGAGGCTGAAGCAGATCACCTTAGGGTCAGGAGTTTGAGAGAGACCAGCCTGGAAAACATGGCAAAGCCCTGTCTCTACTAAAAATACAAAAATCAGCCTGGCATGGTGGCGCACTCCTGGAATCCCAGCGACTTGAGAAGCTGAGGCAGGAGAATCACTTGAACTTGGGAGGTGGAGGTTGCAGTGAGCTGAGATTTTGCCTCTGCACTCCAGCCTGGGCGACAGAGTGAGGCTCTGACTCAATAAAACAAAAATTACTTTTCATCAGAATAAAAATAGACGTATGATGGGGAAGGAAACAAAACACACCACAGGGATTTGATTCCACTTGTGATCTTAGTGATTGCAGTGGAATGAATGTTTATGTTCCCTTCAAATTCATATGTTGAAATTTTAACTTCCAAGGTGATGGTATTAGAGTTGGGGCCCCTGGGGAGTGAATTAGGTTATGAGGGGTAGCCCTCATAAATGGGATTAGTGCCCTCATAAAAGAGACCTCAGAGAAATCCCTTATCCCTTCTGCCATGTCAGATTATAGCAAGAAGATGGCATCTGTGAACTAGCAAGAGGGGCCTCACCAGAAATGGAATCTGCCAGCACCCTGATATTGGACTCCTCAGCCTCCAGAACTGTGAGACATTTCTGTTGTTTACAAGTCACCCAGCTTATAGTATTGATTATGGTACCCCAAACGGACTAAGGTGGTTTTGCTTCACCATTTCTCTCCCACTTTTTATACCCAGAATGAAGTGTACTATCCCAAGACATAATTGCCCAGTGCAGGGGAGAATAGGGTAATCACCACCCCCTTCATGGTGTTTCCTTGTAAGAATGTAAACCAATCGTATTTTCTTAGAGACATGTGACATGATTTCTTTGGGAAATCGTGTCACATGTCTCTAAGAAAATACAATTTTATGGTAAGCAGGATTCTAAAATTGGCCTCTAAGATTCCATGCCCTCATTTCCAGAACCTGTGACTATAAAAAGCTCACACTCCATGACTATGCTGTGTTCATGGCAAAGCTGAATGTAGGGAGGTTGTCAAGGTGTGCCTGATTGAATCACATGAGTCCTGGAAAGTAAAGGATTTTTTCTGGCTGTTATCAGAAGTCCAAAAGATCCAGAGCATCAGAAGGATTTGATATACTGCTGCTGGCTTTGAAGATGGAGAGGGTCAAGTGGAAGGACCAGAGAGCTGCCATGAGTATCTGAGAATGCTTCCTGGCTGGAGCCAGCAAGGAAATGGGGGCAAGGAACTGAATTCTACCGACAATGAGAATGAGCTTGTAGGAGGACCCCTGAGCTGCTGATGAGAATGCAGCCAACCAACACCTTGATTTTAGTCTTGTGAGATCCTAGCAGAAAATGAGTCATACCATCTGATATGGTTTGGATGTTTGTCCCCTCCAAATCTCATGTTGAAATGTGGTTCCTCATTGTTGAAGGCAGGGCCTGGTGGGAGGTAATTGTAACAGAGGTGTGGGTCCCCATGAATGGCTTAGCACCACCTCCTAGGTGATGAGTGAGGTCTTGCTCAGACTTCCTGTAAGATCTGGGTGTTTAAAAGTATACGGCCCCTCCCGGCTCACTCTCTTATGCTCCTGCTCTGCCATGTGATGTGCCTGTTCTGTATCACCTTCTGCCATCAGTAAGTTTTTTGAGGCTCTCACCAGAAGCAGCATGCTTCCTGTACAACCTGCAGAACCATAAACCAATTAAATTTTTTTTAAAACAAATTACCCAGCTTCAGGTATTTCTTTTTCTTTCTTTCTCTCTTTTGAAACAGAGTTTTGTTCTTGTTGCCCAGGCTGGAGTGCAATAGCGAAATCTCGGCTCACTGCAACTTCTACCTCCCAGGTTCAAGTGGTTCTCCTGCGTCAGACTCCTGAGGAGCTGAGATTACAGGTGCATACCACCACGTCCAGCTAATTTTGTATTTTTAGTAGAGATGGGGTTTTACCATGTTGGTCAGGCTGGTCTTGAACTCCTGACCTCAGGTGATCTACCCACCTTTGGCCTCCCAAAGTGCTGGGAATATAGGCGTGAGCCACGGCACCTGGCCAGTTACTTCTTCATAACAACACAAAAATGGCCTGAAACATCATCCCAGACTTCTGACCTATACGACAAATGGGGTGTTGTCCTAAGTGTCTAAGTTTTTGGTAATTTGTACTCAGAAGCAAAAAACGAATATATATTTTGTTTAGAGAGGCTCAAAAGCTAAATGCTTTTATTTTAAGCATATGCTTTTATTTCTTTTAAAAATAACCCAAAGTAGTATTTTTTCTTAGATCTAGAAACATTCATACAAGTGCTTTTGTTTGTTTTTGTTTTAGAGATGGGGATCTTGCTCTGTCATTCAGGCTGGAGTGTAGTGGCACAATCACAGCTCATGGCAGCCTTGAGCTCCTGGTTTCGAGCGAGCAATTCTCCTGCCTCAGCCTCCCAAGTAGTTAGGACTACAGGCATGCACCACAAAGCCCAGCTAATTAAAAAAAATTTTTTTTTGAAGAGTCAGAGTCTTGTTTTGTTGCCCAGGCTGGTCTTGAACCCCTGGCCTCAAGCAATTCTCCCACATCAGCCTCCCAAATTCTTAAGATTATATGTGTGAGCCACTGCCCCTGGCCCCCAAGTAAAGTTTTAGATTTTCATTTTGTCATTAAAGTGGTTAATCAGCTTTCAGATGGGACATACATTTCTGAGTTCTCCACGGTCACTTAACAAAACTGATAACAGGCTGCAGAACTATCATGGCAAGTGGGTCCACAGACTTAAATACCTAGAGAAACAGGCAGACAGTATAGATGAGTGAAGAATGTAGGCAGAAGGCAATAAGGAGGGGTGGGGAGTGTGGCAAGCTAGAGAGCACACTCTCCATGGAAAGAGGAGCAGTTGCTACTAAGTTTCAGCTGATTGTAGACTTGTTCTGACATTGTTTATTCATCCATTCATTCATTTATCAACTATTTGTTGAGATACTAGATAATGATTTATATTTTGGAGCTGGGGCTGTGTACAAATCCACAATGTTTCTGTTCTCATGAAACTTATAATTTCCAGGGAAATAATTTATTCTGAGTTTGCAAGAGAAGCAGAATCCAGACTTTGATCAGGATTTGGATTCTTCTAAGTGTTGACTCAAGAATGAAGCATTGAGCTACCGTTTAACCCAGCAGTCCCACTACTGGGCATATACCCAAAGGAAAATAAACCATTCTACCAAAAGGACACATGCACCTGTGTTTTCGTCGCAGCACTATTCACAATAGCAAAGGCGTGGAGTCAACCTAGGTGCTCATCCACAATGGACTGGATAAAGAAAATGTGGGACATATACACCATTTTACGTGGCCATAAAAATAATGAAATCATGTCCTTTGCAGGGACACGCGTGCAGCTGGAAACCATTATCCTAAGTGAACTAATGCAGAAACAGAAAACCAAACGTTGCATGGTCTCACAAGTGGGAGCTAACCATTGGGTAAACATAGGCACAAACGGGAACGTCAGACACTGAAAATTATTAGAGGAGGAAGGGAGGTTGGGGGTGGATTGAAAAAAACTGCCTATTGGGTGCTATGCTCACTATCTGGGTGACAGAGTCATTCATACACCTTGGCATCACATGGCATACCTTTGCACCAGTCTGCATGTGTACCCCTGATTCTAAAATAGAAGTTCAGGAAAAAGTTTTGATACAAAATAAAAAATATCCTGTGTGGGCCAAACAACAACAACAACAACAACAACCACAACAACAGCAGCAGCAA